TCCTTTACCTGAAATGCTTGGGACCAGAAATGTTTTCGATTTCAGATTTTTTTCTTGTTTTGAAATGTTTTTTTATGTATACACTGAGATATCTTGTGGACTGAGTGCAAGTCTAATCCCAGAATTTAGTGTCATTTCATATACACCTTATACACATGCCTAAAATGAAATCAGGTATGGAATTATGTACTGTGGCATCAAATCAGTGCTGGAAATGTTTCAGATTTTGAAACTTTTCAGATTTCCAATTTTCAGAACATGAATATTCAATCTGTATGAGACAAATGAGAATCCCCAAGTGGTTTCTAATGATAGTTTGGGAATACCTATGATAAAAGAGGAAAATGACAAAGGTGGCATGGTTGGCTATCAGAAAAGACAGAAAGCTTATAAAAACAAATAACATACATTTTATAATGCGAGGAAAAGCAAAGAAATTAAAATCCCAGGAAATAAAGATAGACCAAGGGAAAAATATTTAACAGAAACAAAATTGAAAAGTTATCTGTCGATAATGTATATGATAATATCTTGATTAAGATGCATTCTATCCACACCGAGAAAAGTCATTTTGTATTCTGTAAAGATGTACAGTGATTAAATGTAAATAAACAAAAATAATAAAAGCTAAAAAATAGAGATTACAAAAAGATGTTGCAAGTTCTAATTCTATAATCTAAGAAGAATTGTCTCAGAGCTTTATGTCTTTATGTCTTTATTCCTCAGACTATAGAAGTGGTTCAGTATGGGTGTGACTACAGTGTACATCACTGAGGCTGTTGCACCTGAGTGTGAGCTGTGAGTAGTACCAGTACTAAAGTACACACCCAGGGTTGTACAATAAAAGAAGGGGACAATTGAGAGGTGAGAGGCACAGGTGGAAAATGTTTCATACTTCACCTGAGTTGATGAGATTCTACAAATGGAGTAAACGATCTTATAATAAGAGTAAAGGATCCCTGAAAAGTTTCTGCCCGCCACAAGTAAAGCTGAGAAATTCATCATCATGTCATCAAGAGAGGTGTCAGAACAGACATCTGTAAAAGTTGACAGAACACATGGTGGATTTCCAAGTGTGTACAGAAGGGCAGCCACAGTACCAGTAACCAATGCAACAAAGAATTTAGGACACTCAAGATCCAGGATGCTAGAACCAGCAGTCTACCAAGCTGGCAGTTAATGATCACTGCAGTTCGAGAGGTGACAAATGGCAACAAAGCAATCATAGTCCATCATGGTCAGCAGAAAACTATCCCCCCCCCAAAAAAAAGAGTATGAAAAAATATGCCTAGACAATGATGTTTTCATAGGTTATGACCTTGCTCTGTGTCTGGATGTTCACAAGCATCTTTGGCATGGTGGTGGAGGTGAGACAAAGGTCTACAATGGGCAGGTTGGAGAGAAAAAAAGTACATGGGCATTTGTAGGTGAGAATCCAAAATGATGACTAGGATGGAGAGCAGGTTTCCAGACATAGTCACCAGGCACACGGAGAGGAATAGCTCAAAAGATGTGTTGCAGTTCAAATTCATGCACAGGTTAAGATCTGTTAACCCTTCATTTATTAAAAAAATGAATATATAACAAATATCTGCACTCCATAACAACAGAGATGGAAAGTGTAGATAGCAGACACTGTATAGGAGGGGGTGGATAGTAGAGGATGGGAGAGAAGAGCTCAGGCAAAATAAATTAACAGACGTAACAATGAAAAGTTATCTGTTGAGAATGATTTATATAGTAACATCTTTGACTTGATCAGTATGCAATAGATGTACATTTCGGAAAGTCATATTGTATACAGTTAAGATGTACAATGACTGGGGGCCAGCAGATGGTGTAGTGATTATGTAGCTGGATTCCCACATGACCCCTAACGGTTTGAGTTCTGAACCTGATGACTTGGAAACTGAGACCTGGCATGTTTGCGTTTGTTCTCAATATCCGAGCAGGAGAATGGAGTAGGAATTGCTCTGTGACCATTGCCCTGGGGGGATGATTTCTCACTCTCACTGTCTCCATCTCTCTCTCTGGTTGAATGCATGTGCCCTAATGCAAAACTACTAAAAAATGTGATATGATTAAGTATAAAAATATATAAAATTTATCATAAAAAATATAAAGCTAAAAAAGAATTTTTATACAATTTCTGTTGAGAGAAGCACAAGAACTGATTTTTTTTCAAATTTAGTTTTTTTTGGTTTGTTTGTACCACTTAACTTTATTTGTTTATTTATTTATTTTTATGATCAGAGTTTATTCCTTGGATCTGAAAATGGCTCAAAAAAAAAGAGAAATCAATGATTATGATACATAACTTTAGTAAAATCAGTAAGAATGAAAACAACAATATCACTTATCTCAAAAATGAAAATGAGCAAGTTGACAAACTCGAACAACTTCTCATAATAAAAAATATTCAAAACATTAGGTTCACAGTTACTTACATCAATGCAGGAAGGTCATAAACGAAAAACCCACAGCTAACATTGTTTAATGTTAACAATCTGAAAAATTTAGTTTTTAAATGATATACAACTGTATGTGTTTACCATACAGCATAGTTTTGAGATGTTTAAATTTAGCTACTTAATTGATACCTTTTATCACATGGCTATCATTATGATAATAAGAACATCACTTGTGAAAATAGAAGTTGTTTGGATGAATCTATGGGTGAGTGATGAGTGAATGTGAGAACCTAGGACACTACTGTATTTCATCTTAGACTTTTAAAACACTGTACATTTACCACACACTAATTTTTAACAACTTTTTCTTTCTTTAATATAAATTAATACCACTGACTGTCATTCTTTTTAAATTTACTTTTATACATTTAATCACCGTACTTCTTTACAGTGTATGACATGATTTTCCCAGTGTGAATACAGTGCATATTAGTGAAGTCAGAGATATTATCATATACGTTATCATCAACATATAACTATTTATTTTCATGTCTCTTAAATGTTTTCATTTGTTTTTCCCTGAACTCCTCCCTCCCATCCCGTATTACCCACCTCTTTCTATACTGTCTCTAGTATTTACATTTGCTTTCCCTGCAATATTATACCTTCTAATATTTTGCTTTCCCCTATAGAGCACATATACTCAATATTTAATAAGCACGGACATACAATGCCTGCCTTTCATAGTGTGGCTTGTTAGCCACAATATTCATCCTCTTTCTATAAAATGATATTGGTTTTTTATGGCTGAGTAGTATTCCACAGTGTATATGTGCCACATTTTTTTTCATTCTACTTGTCTGTTCTTGGACATTCGAGTTGATTCCATGTCCTAGAAATTGTGAATATTTCTCCACAGTGGTTGGACTAATTAACATTCCCACCAGCAGTGTAAGAGAGTTCTCCTTTCACCATGACCCCGCCAACACTTATCATTTTTTGTTTTTTTAAACTTAGCTATTCTGACTGGGGTTAAGTGGTATCTCATTGTTGTCTTGATCTGCATTTCCCTTACGATGAGGGATGTTGAGCATATTTTCATATGCCTTTTGGCTATTCATGTGTCATCTTTAGTGAGTGTTCTTTTCAATTCCTTCTCCCATCTTTTAATAGGGTTCATCATCTTTTTTCCAAACAGCTTCTTTAGTTCCTTATGTATTCTGGTTATCAACCCCTTATCTGATGCATAGTTTACAAAAATATTTTCCCATTCTGAGGGCTGTCCATTCACACTAATTACTGTGTCTTTTGCCATGCAGAAACTTCTTAGTCTGATGTAATCCCACTTGTCTCTTTGGGGGATTACCGACTATGCTTTGGGGGTCTTATGTAAGAAGTCTTTCCCTCCCCTAATGTCTCCCAGAGTTTCCCCAGTGTTTTCTAGAAGCAGTTTCATAGTTTGGGATCTTAGATTTAGATCCTTGATCCACCTTGACTTGATTTTTGTCAAAGGTGAGAGGTAGGGGTTTAGATTCATCTTTCTGCAGGTGGAAATCCAGTTTTTCCAGCACCATTTGCTGA